TTTTTTTAGTTGGAGTCTCACTCTGTCACCCAAGCTGGAGTGCAGTGGCCTGCTCATAGCCATGGCAGCCTTGACTTGCTGGGCTCAGGTGATCCTTCTGCCTCAGCCTTCCAAGTAGCTGGAACTACAGGCATGTGCCACCACACCTGTCTAATTTTTTGATTTATTGTAGAGATGAGGTCTCACCAAGTTGCCCATGCTGGTCTCCAACCCATGGGCTCAGGCAGTCCTCTCACCTCAGCGTCCCAGAGTGCTGGGATTATACGTGTGAGCCTCCATGCCCAGACCCACTTGAGTTTTTAATGCTGCAATATGTTTTGAAATTTTTCACATTACTACATGTAAACTTACCTTGTTATTGATTGCATGGATTTTTATAGCATGAATGTGTTATAACCTATTTAATCATTTCTTATTAGTCATTTTACGTTGTCAATTTTTTTGCTTATACAGATCAGTACTACAGAGGACAGTAGTATTTATCGTCTTTATCTTTACACATTTTTCTGTAGGTTGTCTATATCTTTATAACCATTTCTCTGCTTTTCAGTGAAAAAAATTGCCTGTGAAGGAGTGAATGATGATCCTGATGAGTCTGTGAGTAGTAGAATCTCAGACACAGAAATATCTCAGAAGGATGCTCAGACCGTGGAAGAAGAAGAGTCTCTGACTTTATCAGGGCAGGATTCAGAACAGGTTGTATTAGAACAAGGCCTAAATCAAAACAAAAGGAGAAGTAAAAATCAAGATGAAGCTAATCAACAGGAAGTAAACGGTGTTTTAGGAAATGCCACTGTTCACTTGGGCCCTTCTAAAGGAGAAAAACACAAGAGTAAGTTTCTTCCCTATTTTAACGACCTCTATATTACTTTAGAAGACATGTATAGTAATATGGTATGTAACTTAAATACTCTCCTTCTTGATAGCAGCAATTAGTATTGCTTATTAGTTGGTTCTGTACTCATGGTACTGTGTTAAATCCTTTCATTTTTAATTATAAGAAAGAAATTTATTGTTAAAAAAAATTAACCAAAATTAAAGCGAGGAGATATGTCTTTTAAGTTTATTTCTACAATGTATCACCTCTTGTGTATTTCCATTAACAATGATTATAAATCCGATGTATATTTAAATATATGTTGCTTATATCTATTAACAAATGACAAGTTTTCATGTTATAACTGTATAGAGCACCTCTGAGAACCTACAGTGGATTGTTTAGTTTTGTAAAAGAGCTAGTAAAATAAATATTTCTTCCACTTTCTTTTTTACTTTTAGAATACAAACATATTAACTGAGTTGCTAGGGGATGAGGACTCAGAGTTTAGGATAAGGGGAATCTTGCCTTTCTTTACGAGTTCATATATAGATTTTTTTTTTTTTTTTTGAATTAGAGTCTCACTTTGTTGCCCAGGCTGAAGTGCAGTGGCACACTCATGGCCATTGCAGACTCGACCAGCTGGGCTCAAGTGATCCTTCTGCCTCAGTCTTCCTAGTATCCGGAACATAAGTGCATACTACCGTACCTGGCTAATTTTTTGATTTATTGTAGAGATGAGGTCTCACCAAATTGCCCTGGCTGGTTCGAACCCCTGGATTTGGACAATCCTCTTGCCTCCACCTTCCAAAGTGCTAGGATTACAAGCATGAGGCACTGCGCCCAACCTATATATAGATTATTTAAAGCAAATAATCAAGTAAAGAGAAGAGGAAAAGGTAGTAGCAGACCAGAACAACCTTTCTGTAGACTTTACATTTTGTGTAGTTCAGCTTCACCAGTATATTTTAATAAATGAGTTCTGGTAGTTAACATAGTATGATTTATAGGCATCCCAGTGTTATACTCTTTTGTCTCTTACTATTACAGTCATTACATGTGGAATAGACTAGCTTAATGATTCAAAATTCAGATTATAGAAATCAAACAGACTTTGCTTTAAATTCTAACTTTTTTATTTGCTGTTGTATTGGGAGAGTCATTTAAGATCTCTGAACTCAGATGGTTCTTCTCTATGGTGGAGTTAATATTATTATTTTTAATAGGATTGTTTCCAGTATTAAATGAGTTAATGCATCTGATGGATTTAAGAGTTCCTGCCACTTAGCAAGTTCTCAGTAAATGATAGCTATTACTTTGTTATTAAGTATTACACTTCTGAAATAGGAAAAGAGTAGCCAAACCCACTTTTAGTTTCCTTACTTGACATATAAAGTAAGTCAACTTAACCACTTAAAATTTAAGTAAGACAAAAGGAAGATGATACAAACTGCCTAGGAAGGTTGAGCTGATCATATAAGTTGATTAAATTTTCACTATTATCTGAAGATAAGATACGTCTTACAAATAGGAATGGATTAATGTTTTGTAGGAAAAGACAATGTTATATGTATATTTCTTGGTGCTTTTTAAAAAAAATTTAATTTTGTTTTTTGAGTTGGAGTCTCACTCCTTTGCCCAGGTTGGAGTGCAGTGGCATACACGCTCACGGCCAACCCTGCATCGACCTGGGCTCCAGCGGTCCTTCTGCCTTAGCCTTCCAAGTAGCCAGAATTACAGTCATGCACTACCACACCCAGCTATTTTTTATTTTATTGTAGAGACAAGGTCTTGCCAGGTTGCCAAGGCTAGTCTCAAACCTGCAGGCTCAGGCAATCCACTCTCCTTGACCTCCCAAAATGCTGAGATCACAGGCTAAGCCACCGAACCTGGCCTTCCTTGGTGCTTTCAGAAAAATAGATGTTTTTTGCTGTCATTTTAAAAAAAGTTTTATTTATTTATTTATTTTTGAGTTGGAGTCTCACTCTGTCACCCAGACTGGAGTGCAGTGGCTGCTCCTGGCCACTGCAGCCTTGACCTGCTGGGCTCCGGTGATCCTTCCGCCTCAATCTTCCAAGTAGCTGGGACTACAGGTGTGTGCTACCACGCCCGGCTCATTTTTGATTTATTGTAGAGATGAGGTCTCACCAAGTTGCCCAGGTGGGTCTTGAACCCTCAGGCTCAGGCAATCCACTCACCTCAGCCTCCCAAAGGTGCGAGCTTACAGGCTGAGCCACTGAGCCCGGCTGCTATCATTTTTTAAGAATAGCATGCATTTTATTTTCACAGATAAATGTCAGCCTATAAGCACTGAGGTAAATGAAGATGAATGCAGTAAGGAACAGAAGCTTTCCTGCGTACAAAATATTGGTGATATTGTGGTTGTTACCAACAATGAAAAATCTGAGAAGCGAACAGACCCTATCCTTTCATCAAGGTATTTTCTGTCTTTTCTGGCTTTGTCTACATTTTCTCTTGATTACTGACACATGTCAAAGTTTCCAACTGTAATTATGGATTTGCCTGATTTTCCAGTTCTATTTGGCTTTGCTTCATGTATTTTGAAGCTCTGTTAAGTGTGTGCATGTCTAAGACTGTTGTATCTTTTTGGTGAAATCTCCTTTGTCATTGTGTACTATCCTGGTGTTGCTTTTGGTTCTGATGTTTACTCTGCCACCATGGCTTTCTTTTGATTAGTGTTTGCATAGGTTTATCATTTTCTGTAGTCGTTTTCTCTTTTATCTTTGATTTTCATTAGTTTGAAGATGGTGTGTCCTGCTGTGTGTGTGTGCTTTAAAATTTTATTATTTATTTATCATTATTAAAAACGCATAAGATCTACTGCCAACACGTTTTAAGTGTACTGCACACTGTTGTGAACAGTGTTATATAGCGGATCTCTGGAATTTTAAAATCTTACATGACTGTAACTCTATCCCATTGAACAGCAGTTCTTATTTCCTCCTCCCCTCTCCCCCTTCAGCTGCCACTCAGCTTTCTGTTTCTGTGAGTTTGACTACTTTAGATACCTTGTATATATAAGAGGAGTCATGCATATTTTCCTTCTGTGACTGGCTTATTTCACTTTGTGTAATGTCCTCAAGTTTTACACTCAGCATATGACCCAATTTCCTTTTTTTTATGGCTAAATAATATTCCATTGTATGTGTACACTGCATTTTCTGTTTTCTTTATCCATTCATTGGTCGAAGAACGATTGCGTTAATCCTGTCTCCTTTTTCTTTTTTTGAGCTGGGGTCTGTTTCCCAGGCTGGAGTACAGAGGCATGATCATGACTACTGTAGCTTCAACCTCTTGGGCTCAGGAGATCCTTCTACCTCAGAGCCTCCTAAGTAGCTAGAACTATAGGCGTGTACCACCACACTTGGCTAATTTTCTTGCTGTGTTGCCCAGGCTGGTCTTGAACTTCTGGCTTCAAGCAATCCTCCTGCCTCAGCCTCCTGATGTTGGGATTATAGACATGCTCCACCATGCCTGGCCCAGATTCTGTCTCTTGGCTGTTGTGAATAATGCTTTACTGAACATGGGAGTTAAATATCTCTTTGAGATCCTGATTTCAGTTTTTTTGGATAAATACCCAGAAGTGAAATTACTGAATATGGTATTTCTATTTTTCATTTTTTGAGGAACCTCCCTACTGTTTTCAATAGCAGTATACCAGTTCGCATTTCCACCAACGTTGTATGAGTTCCAGTTTTTCTGCATCCTTACCAATACTTGTTATACTTGTTATCTTTTATTGATAATGGCTATCCTCAGGAGGATTGCTTGAGCCTAGGAGTTTGAAACCAGCCTGGGCAACATAGTGAGACATTACCTCTACAAAAAGTCAAAAGGTTAGCTAGATGTGGTGGTGCACATCTGTAGTCCCAGCTACTCGGAAGGCTGAGGTAGAAGGATAGCCTGAGCCCAGCAGGTCGAGACCATGATTGTGCCACTGCACTCCAGTTTGAGCAACAGAATGAGACCCTGACTCCAAAAAAATAATAATGATATTGACCATTCTAACAGGTAGAAGGTAATATCTCGTGGTTGTTTGATTTGCGTTTTCCCATTGATTAGTGAGGTCAAATATTTTTTCATATACCTGTTAGCCATTTATATTATTTCTTCTTTGGAGAAATGTCTATTCAAGTTTTTTTGCCCATTTTTAAATTGGGTTATTCCTTTTTTTGTGAGTTGTGAGTATTATATGTTTCAGATATTAACCCCTTATCAGATACATGGTTCACATGTTTTCTCCCATTCTGTGGGTTACCTTTTCACTCTGCTTGTTTCCTTTGCTATACAGAGAAGCTTTTTAGTTTGATGTAGCCCTGCTTGTCTAATTTTGCTTTTGTTGTCTGTGTTTTTCGTGTCGTGACTTTTTCTAATTTAAGGGAAAACAACTCTGTAATCACTGTTAAATTGGTTTTGGAAAACAGAGAGTTGGTTCTGTAACTGTCATATACACAAGAGCAAAGAGTCAAGAGTGGAAGGTCAGTTTTGAAAAACACCGCAGGGAATGTATTAAGACTTACCTTAAAGCTAGAGTAATTAAAGCAGTGTGGTATTGGTACAGGGATAGACAAATTGATTCAGTGAAAGTTTAGGAAAAGACTTGTAGGAGTCTGTTATATGACAAAGGTAGCTTTAGATATCAGTGGACAAAGATTGAACCAAGTATTCATTAGATTGTATTGAGGCTTGAAAAATAGGAACCCATTTTACCCTATCCACTAACTTTTTTTTTTTTTTTTTTTTGAGTTGGAGTCTCACTGTCGCCCAGACTGGAGTGCAATGGCCGTTCCTGGCCACCGCAGCCTCGACCAGCTGGGCTCCGGCGATCCTTCCGCCTCAGCCTTCCAAGTAGCCAGAATCACAGGCATGCGCTACCACGCCCGGTTGATTTTTTGATTTATTGTAGAGATGAGGTCTTGCTGCCCAGGCGGATCTCGAACCCGCGGGCTCAGGCAATCCACTCACCTCAGCCTCCCAAAGGCACGGGATTACAGGCTGAGCCACCGAGCCCGGCTTCCACTAACTTCTTGTTGGATTGAAAAAGACATGTATTAAACAAATCTTTACAACTTTTAGAAGAAATTTAGAAAAATTGTGGTGTCAAGAATTTATTGAGACATAGAAAGCACAGACTTTGAAAGATAAGACTGAGGTCTGGTTTAGTAGCTCATGGCACTTTGGAAGGCTAAGGAGGGAGGATCACCCGGAGCCAGGAGTTGGAGATTAGCCTGTACAACAGAACAAGACACCGTTTCTGCAAAAAATAAAATTATTTTTAAAAGATAAGATTGCTAAGTTTGACTGCAGTAAAATTAGATACTTTTGTTAACAAAGACTCCATTAAAAAAAAGTAAAGGGCAAGTTACTGATTCGGAGGTTTTATGTGTAACATCTAGCCAGTAAAATATAGAGAACTCTTGTTGATATAGTTAGGGAAAAAAACACCCAGTAGAAAAAAAAGGATGGCTATATGTGATTATGCATTGAAATGGTACTTGTTAGTGCATGACCTTCAGTTATATTGTCAGTAGAAATTTTCTTTTTTTTTGGAGTTGGAGTCTCACTCTCACCCAGGCTGGAGTGCAGTGGCATGCTCACAGCCACTGCAGCCTTGACCTGCTGGGCTCAGGCGATCCTTCTGCCTCAGCCTTCCAAGTAGCTGGAACTACAGGCATGTACCATCATGCCTGGCTAATTTTTTTTTATTTATTGTACAGATGAGGGCTCACCAAGCTGCCCAGGCTGATCTCGAACTCGTGGGCTCAGGCAGTACTCTCACCTCGGCCTCTCAAAGTGTGTGAGCCATTGTGCCCAGCCAGCTGAAATATTTAATATAGTAGTTCTCACTTTGCATAGGACAGTGTGAACTGCAGTTGAGCTTACTGGAACTGTGTCCTCATTTTATGTGGTTTTTGCTTACCAACCACAATACCATGCAAAGCAAGGACTGCCTAGATAAAATTTTAAGAAAATTAATTCCTAAGTATTGCTATGATTTTTATACATGTATTTGATTTGTGAACCTCATTTAACAATTTTTCATTTTGAAACTTCTGGAACTCTTTCCTAGGCCTGTAAACTTGTGACTGCTACTTTTTCTGAAGGTATAGTTCTTTATAACATGATGCAAGAAGCATAATAGAAAAGCCAACATAACAGTTTTGATTATTCCATCATATGAAGCATTATTCCAAAGTGGTATTTTTGTGTATTTAAAAAAATCTTTTAAATAATTAGTATAAAATTATATATTACTAGGAATTTTTTTCTTCCCGATGTATTTTCATTTCCTTAGTAAGCAACGTGATGCCATGCCAGTATCAATTGAGTCTTCAGAATCAAGCACTCCAGATTTGCCTTCATTGGAAGTTGGAAGTAGAGCACTGTGTGAGGAGAATAATGCCAAGAGTAGTTGTACAGAAGAAAGAAATGTTGACTTAAAGAAGAAATCATTGTAAGTATTTTGCATGGTAGGATTTATTTATTTATTCCAAAATTTTGATAAAGTTTTTTTTTTTGAGTCAGAGTCTTGCTCTGTTGCACAGGCTGGAAATGTAGTGGAGTCACAGCTAGGGTGGTCTTGACCTCCTGTGCTCAGATGAGCCTTCCGCCTTAGCCTCTTGAGTAGACTGCGAGTGCACACCACCACACCTGGCTGATTTTTAATTTTTTTTTTTTTTTTGTAGAAACAAGGTCTTGTGGAATTGCTTAGGCTGATCTTGAACTTTTGGACTCAACCAATCCTCCCGCCTTGGCCTTCCAAAGTGCTAAGATGACAGGCATGAGCCACTGTGTCTGTCCTTCTGTCTTTTCTTTTTTTTTTTGAGTTGGAGTCTAACTCTGTCGCCAGGCTGGAGTGCAGTGGCACGCTTACGGCCACTGCGGCCTTGACCTGCTGGGCTCAGGCGATCCTTCTGCCTCAGCCTTCCAAATAGCTGAAACTAAAGGCACAAACCCACCACACTGGCTAATTTTTAAAAAATTTATTGCAGAGATGAGATCTCATCAAGTTGCCCAGGCTGATCTCGATTCCCTGGAGTCAGGCAGTCCTCTCGCCTCGGCCTCGCAAAGTGCTGGGATTACAGGCTTGAGCCGCCACACCTGACTCTTTCTGTCTTTTCTTTCTTTTTTTTTTTTTTCTTCTTTGAGTCGGGGTCTCACGCTGTCGCCCAGACTGGAGTGCAGTGGC